AGAGGGTCATACAATACTCCCCTTTAACCCCAAAATGTATAGCGCACTTTTCCCTCCTAGAATGCATATGTAGATCAAAAAAGACTGATGGAATTAGATGCAGATTCTTTATAAAACTATTTGCTTATATTTTAATTTAATGGGTTGTGTGTAAGCAAGCAAGAGTTTATTTAGTTTGAGGATAAATATGACTATTATTTAGTGCAATAAATATAAATAATTTATTGTATTAAATAATAATTTATGTTTAAAAAATATATTATTGTATGTTATAATAAACTATTATGTGTGTATATAACAGATAGTCATAACATAATGTAATATACAATGTAATTTAATAATTTATTGTATTAAATAATAATTTATTACATGAAATAGCATTTATATATATATATATATATACATAAGTTAATATAATACATAAATAATAAATATAATATATAATAAATGTGTATAAAAACAAACAAAAATAAATAAATAAACACAAACACGTTTTTATTTAGTTTTTTTTAAAGTGCAAATATTCATAGCTATTATATACATGTCATAATTTATTGTATTAAATAACAATATATTATATTAAAACACATTTTATTCTTGCATTTGATATATTAAATAAGCAACAATAAAAAATATATAATAATTAAATATAATATATTTAACATAATAAACTACTATGTCTGGGTGTATGTATATATACACATACACACATAATAGTTCATTATATTAACTAAAGTTTGGTTTTATACAAAAGTTTTTATGTTCATTTAAAATGTATTTAGTTTTTCTTTTTTTTTATCTTTTAGGAGAAAGATTTGAATTAGGGTTAGTCTGTAGTTATAATTAACTTTATATTACAGCAAGAGACTTTTCTGGTATGTCCCCCATGTATGTAAATCAGTGGTTAAGATCAGATAGACCTAAGGATGAACTCAGTTAAGATGAGAAGACCACTTTATGTCAAAGCACGTACTAAAAATTGTGCTCCCAGCTAATTTTGATGCATACAGCAGCTTATTTACATTTGTCATCTGCATGAGTATTAGTACCTTTAAAACGTAGTTAAATAAAGTTCAGCTCATTCCTAGGCAGTATTTGCTAGTGAGGACAGCTAGTATTGTGAGGCCTGGGGTGGCTGCAGAAGTTCACTGGCGCAGTGAGTCAAAGACCCAAGACCAAACCAAGGCCAGGAGCAGCTCTGCTTTTTCTCTGATTTTCATGAGATTTCTGAGCGTGGCATGTTAGCATATCCCACTGAGAGATTCAGGTGATTCAACAGAAATCAAACATACACCTGTATGCTGTGCACGTCTGTCACGGACCGTTTAATAATTGTTGGGTTTGTTTGTAGGTGACTTGTAACAGGAAAGCTGAGCCACGTTTCAGGTAATTAGATGTAATTTGCATCATCATGAACTCATCAAAGGCAAGGATAAATTAGTCTGATAATTATCACAAGATAATTACAAAGGGTAACAAACCGAACACCATATTTACACGGCGCAGATTTCATCGGCGCTGTAGGGTCACGTGAGGGGCCTGAGGAGGAAAATACCTCATTGTGTAGTGATTTAACCAGTCAAACTGCTTAAAATGTATTGTTTATTTGTTCTTGCAGTTGCTAAAACTGAAATCAGCGCCTGTAGTTTTTTTTAATATATATATACTTACAGTGTTTCGACTCCGGGAACGAAGGCCTGAAACCGTTTGTACCGCGAAGTTGCATTCATACGCCATCTGCTGGTAAATATGAAAATTGTTTTTGAAAATCTTATAATGTTCCCTAGGCCTAGAACATGTCAAAAGAGCACAATTTAAAATGCTACGCTCAAATTTGATTTCCAAAATAATACATTTTGGATTTGGGTTTGAGCGTTGATGTAATCGGAACGCCATTAACAACAAACTTATGAGAGGAGCAACATTTCATGGAGATTCAACCTTTACAGACATTTTTGCAATTTCTACAGTATATTTTTTTGCAGTTTTATAAATAAATGAGACTTTATGGAATATTTATACTTTCAAAAATGATTTTTTTTTTCACATAGCAAGAGCACTTAAAATGAACAGTGTGAAAAATTGACAGTAAATTAGTTGAGTCAAAAACGTTTTAAATGTTACACTGTCAAATTGATTTGCAAATTGTATAATTTTGGATTTGAACTTTTATTTAATGGGGAAGCCATTACAACAGCAAACTTCTGAGGAGGAAAAATGCTTCCCTATAATTTCATAAAGATTCAAGACTTTTTTTTTCAAGTTCTACAGTGTATTTTTTGGAGTTTTATTAAATACAAGACTATATGGAATGTTGATCATTTTAAAAATATTTTTTTTTTACATCAAAAGAGTATTTAAAATGAACTAGAGAAGAAAAAAAATGTAGTGACCATGTGAAACCACCAAAAAGTATGTATATTTATGAAAATTTGAACCTAAAATATATATATAGTAAAATAAGTTCAAATATATATATACATATATATATATATATATATACAGTGGGTACGGAAAGTATTCAGACCCCCTTAAATTTTTCACTCTTTGTTATATTGCAGCCATTTGCTAAAATCATTTAAGTTAATTTTTTTTC